GTGACAAGCGCGCGTACATCACTCTGTATAATGGGTTGCCTAGCATTACGCGGATAATCTTTGCAAACATCAACGGGAAAAATTGCCGTTCATCAGTTCTCACGTTCTATGTATGGACATGACGGGCACATTTTTATTTACCCATGTGCATTAGATGAAATTAATGCGACGTCTCCCGTTTTTATGACTCTTGAAACTTAAAAATCAAAAGCTCCTTTTCAGTTATTTTCGATATATAACCGGTTTCAATTCAATAACGATAATATGTCGGATTCCGAATCAAGTTGCTCTGGAAGAGAGAAACATAACAAAAGATGCGATACTCTTGAATACAGAAAACAACAAAAAGAAGCGGAATCTTTGAAGAAAGCCAAACACAAGCTTATAGGAAAAGTGAGAAATTTAGTTTAGACTTCAGACGATTATAATTTTAATGCAAATAGATGAAACAATAATGCAAGAAATCTAAAATACCAACAAAAATATTTGTAATTCTAATGCTGGAACCGCACGCTTTCCATTTGCCGCAAACTCCAAACCCCTACAAACGCTTGCCTTTTTTTTGAAGAAGCAAACGTCGCCGTCCACACGTTTGCGGTTGCGTCACTGAAAAGGCAACAGGCAAACATGACGCTTGTGGCAAACTCCTTTTGATTTGCGACCAAAAAACCGACACCCGATCGGATCGGCTACAAGCGCTTGCAAACCCACGCAAACGAAGCCAAACGCTCTATACGCATGTTTGCGTTTGTGACGATTTGCGGCGATTTGGCAAGCGTGCGGTTCCGGCATTACATTGTGGGTAATCAAGTTTGCCCTCCTTTATACGTACGACAACCTGCAGGCTTATGGAAAAAACGATAAATTGTCAACTTTTTGACTTAGTAGGCTAGTGTCACGCTAGTGTGCCAGTGTTACGATCTCGTGTTTTAACATGAGATATACTGTTTTTACCTTGATGCTAATGTTTTCGCGAAAAAATGTGTTATAACGGCAATACGTTTTTTATACTTCTCAGCTCACCTGCCACTCCTAGAAAAACCTAGAAATAGCTAGACATCGGTCTCGCCATCTATTAAATCGATGTTAAACTGGGTGAATCACGTATACCAAACAAAGCGCTAGCATCACTCACAGATGGCAAATTCGGGAATCGACTGCGATAATCCGATAATTCATTTATGTACACGTGTATTGTTACGATCAGGATCAGGGATGTTCCGACATGCACAATTATTGTGCATATTATGCACCCAGTGATGGGCGTTTAGGCGTATACATTAATTGTCTACATGTCGATGTATACATTGTGTATACAATGTATACATTATGTATATACAAAGATGAAGACAATGTATAGAATCGTATAAGTGCGGTTAGGTTTATTCGCAAATCTCAGAAAGTTGGTGAACATTGAAAAGGCAACTTTTAAAAAAATATGGTCGGACGCCCCAAGAACAAAGAAATCGATGAACTACGGTTCATATTGTTTAAAAATGGAAAGACATATTCCTTAGAATGTAGTATCTCGATTGAAATCATACAAGTATTTTGCTTTATTTTACTTAAGAAATGTTCCTAATCTAATTAAAACTGTATCTTTGTATACGTACATATACAGGGTGACTTCGAAGTTGAGTCATTTATTTTAACAGTGAGTAGATCTGATCAAAAGAAATGTTTTTTCCTTTACCATTTTTCTTGTAAAATTAAAGTAACAAAGTTATAGCCCTTTGGAAGTTTGAGTACCGCCCTGTCTCAATAATAATATTATGTGCTCGTGTTTGGCGACAACGGATGTAATCCGCCGTGTCGGTTCATCGCATCGGAAACAAAAAAGCAAAAGAATTTGGACCGATGTTTTTACAATTATTTTATTCATTTGTATACAGTCAGTATCAGTGAATAGTGGTGTCTGTTGCGTGGCTCAAACGAAATAAAAAATGGCACATGTTTATGCGGATCGGTTTCCCCAATCGAGTGCAACCAACCCCTCGTGCCTTTGTTAATGTAGTACAACGGGCTCGTGAATCAGGTGACGGCATGCCGGTGCTCCAAGACCTCACGATCAAATACAGGTCCGCACTGAAATACTTGTCGGGAGAATACTTTATAAAACAAGGTAACATTTTTTTGTAATTTTTTTTTATTTTTACACACATATTTTGGTTTATCTTCCTTCTCCAATCATTATCTGAAAATTAATGACTCAACTTCAAATGAATATTATATATTTATACCCTTTCTCATTCTTTATAAACTGCTGTCACAGTCAAACGAATAATGCAATGTTGCAGAATTTGAAGCAATCCTGAACTTGCATTTCCACCTAAAATCGGAGAACCATCAGGATCGATCTGGAATTGATCCTAAACACGTTCGACAGAAATGTGTATTTGGTCGTAGAAAACAAGGCATTGCAGCAAATTAGTTACAGTCAGTCGTATTCTGTGGCCTTCATCACTGTTGTGCCAGGCAACGTGGTATGTGGCGCACTCTTTCTACACAAGTCGTGCCTGCTTCTCCCCATCTTTCTTCCTCGTACACTTGGAAAACTAATACCCTCTCCAGACTCACGCGCGGATCACGGCGTGAAATCGCGGCGCGGATCGCGGTGCGAATCCCGAAATTTGTTCCTACAGTTCCACACTCGTAGATGTTCACGCCTGCTTCACAGTATAGTTCGCGCTCTTGACAAGTATGGACGATGAAATTACTACTGCTGCAGGGCTACTTTGCGCTTTGGCAATTTATAATTTCGCATATACAGGGTGACTTTGAAGTTGAGTCATTAATTTTCAGATAATGATTGTAGAAGGAAGATAAACCAGAATATGTGTGTAAAAATAAAAAAAATTAAAAAAAAAATTTTACCTTGTTTTATAAAGTATCCTCCCGACAAGTATTTCAGTGCGGACCTGTATTTCATCGTGAGGTCCCCTGTGAGGTCTTAAGTAACCTGATTCACGAGCCCGTTGTACTACATTAACAAAGGCACGAGGGGTTGGTTGCACTCGATTGGGAAACCGATCCGCATAAACATGTGCCATTTTTTATTTCGTTTGAGCCACGCAACAGACGCTAACCGACAGACACTGACTGTATGTATAACTGAACTGAATAAAATACTTAATTGCAAAAAGATCGTTCCAAATTCTTTCGCTTTTTTGTTTCCGATGCGATGAACCGGTAAGGCGGATTATATCCGTTGTTGCCAAACACGAGTACATGATATTATGATTGAGACAGGGCGGTACTCAAACTTCCAAAGGGCTATAACTTTGTTACTTTAATTTTACCAGAAAAATGGTAAAGGAAAAAAACATTTCTTTTGATCAGATCTACTCACTGTTAAAATAAATGACTCAACTTCGAAGTCACCCTGTATAAGTAAAACTAAAACAATTGAAAAGAAGTGGAGTAGCTATGAAGCAACTGAGCCACCAGCGAATGAGGAGGCTAGTCATGTTCGCACCATGCGAACCCTTTGTCGCGGGACAAAAAACCGACAACAAACAGATGTGAAGTCGCGAAGAATACGCAAATGGGATCCATACTCATGGGTAGTTCGCGGCTCCGCGCTGAGTGTGGAGGGGGTATAAAAAGGAAAGGGACTTTCGCCAGCACTGTATGGAAGTAGTTGAACTATGAATTGCTATTGTATGCATTGGATACATTGTATACGTGAATAACGAGACGTATAATATTCACCATTGTGACATATGTATACAATGTGCCCATCACTGTGCACAATCTTACGAACATATGCGCAATATGCCCCCCCCCCCCCCACACACAAAATATGCACAATAAATAAAGTGCATTTTTTTATACAGAACTGGCAATACATTTTCATACTAACTGCACGAACTGAGTGAAATGTACTGTTAGACACATACAAAATACGAATCCAGTAATTATTTGTTACGCATCCGAGTACCGATGATTGTTCATAATTGATGCCCTTAGTTAAATTTAATAAATAAATATTATTTTATTCTTGTATTATTTTCTTAAATTCTCATTAAACAATAAAAACGTTGCATGAAATTTCAATTTTTTTAAATTGGCGGTTGCGTCAGAAAATCAGTATACTCGTACATATATGCACATTTTTAAAGAAATATGCACAATTTCTATTTACATCTCTGCACAATTCAAAATCTATCGAGAATAACACTGGTTACGATTACTTCGTTCAACTACTTCTTGGTTGTATGATGTAATAGGTGTCAGTTTTTTAATAGTGATTATTGACTGATCTGTTTGAAAGTCGAAACGTAAATAATAGTTTAAAAAAACTTAAAAAACACGCTTTTATATCTAACCGAACTAAAGAATAGAAAATGATTTTTAATTACAGTAGTAGATGGTCGAACAATCATTCATAATTAATGACCTAAAAATAAAATTATAATAAAATTTAAGTTATTAACTAAATAATTCAATTCAGAGCAAAAAGCCGGGTGCCTGATATAATGTATTAAATGCTACAATGATTCTGTTGGCAACTATCTATGAGAGGAGAGTTATGAAAATGTAGTAAAATGCACCCCACACCTTTTTCTATGAATTGAATTATTCTGTTAACTAATTTTATTTTGAGGTCATTAATTATGATTGACAATCTATTACTGTAATATAAACTCTTTGTAATTAAAAATTATTTGCTACTTTTTAATTCGCTTAGCTATAAAAGCGTGTTTGTTTTTAGTTTTTTTGAACTATTATTTTTCATTTTTTAGTTCGATTTATCAATTGGTTTTTTGTGGACATGTGGTATTGAAATGGCGTACGAATCGTTTCGTAATCTCGTAAATGTAAATCTGTAAAGTACAGGAATCAGAGTTTGGAAATTTGTTAAAAATAAGCTATTGACTAATTTACACTCTGGTTATGAGATGGCGCCACACGAAGCTTAAAGATATAGGTTTCTTTTTTGACAAACTTCAAACAAAACATGGAATGTCAGTGTATATGTTTTGTGGAATGTCATATGACTATAACATAACCTCAGTTTTATCATGTGTTTATACCTTCCCAGTCAATAACTTTAAACAATGAGTGAACTGGGCGAAAGTTGTGAAACTAGAAGACCTCAGTTTGGAAATAGATTTTTAACTGACGAAGATAATGTTTTCCAGCATAATGCATGGTATGAGGAACATCCGTTTACTTTTAGTGTTGGCGAATACCATACGTTCATGCCACACTCGTTTTCGAAAGAAACCAAAATTTGGTAGTAGATATCTTATACAGAACTTGGATGTATTTAGTCACAACTGTTGGTATGTACACAATGAAACTGTGGTACCTTTTTGTTAATCACTATTTGAGCAACTTCAGTCTTTCAGTGATACCATTGACGTTTTTGTGTTCATCAAGATGCCCAACCCTATGCTGTATTGTAGTTCGACATTCACTATTCACTTATAATTTCCATTGTCACATCCTTGTGGTATTGTAGTCAATCCTTTGAAGTAATTACTTCATTACAACAATCAACAATGAATTTCTGACAGGCATTTCAGTGGAACAGATTAATCAAATCCAAGCGAATAACCAAAATTTCTGTTATAATATGGTTAAAGATGATACATGGGTTGATGACGTCAGTTACACGAAATGCTTGAACGCGTTGGTTTTAACCGTGGTTTTGTTGCAAGTTGTTTATTTTATAAGAGCGCGTATATAATCTCTGATCATTTTTATTATCACATTTCGTCTACAATGGTGTATGGAAATTTAAAATAAGAAACCTTTCATAATATTTTTGGGAAAAATGTTTTTTTTTTACAAAAAAATGTTTAATGATGGAACCATGGTTTTGTAGCTATAACTTTCAATTCTCTAAAGTTGTCCGCATGTCAAGGAAGACATTTACTGATTTAGCAGAAATGATGAAAAAAGATATTAGCAAAACCATATACAGGTGGACATCATCCAGTGAGTTTATATGGCCATGTTTTAATATTCTTGTGGTATATGGCTACACAGGATACTTTGTTAAGCATAGGAACTAGATTTAAAGTGTTTCCAACAACAGTATTGAGTATAAATAATAAGGTGCTCCAATTTATGCTAACACTGAAGTCAGCCTGTATCAAGTTTCCCAAAAATGAAGCTGAGTTACAATAACAATATCTAATACCCGGCAAAATTCTAACTTGTCACATTTCAAATAATAACCAGAAATATAAAACAACTCGTGAGTTGGGTAAATACCACAATTTTGCCCTGATAACTATGACATATAACATCTGATTCATGACGTCACGGATCTTATAACCAAACTGAATAACCACATTCACTTGAATGGATCGGTAAATACCAACCCAAAATGGTAAATATCATTTTCATTTGGTTATTGAATTTGATTATTAATGATTAGTTCAGTGTAAAACTAGGTCACATCATATCATTAAGTTGAAAGAGTGACTGTATTTGACAATCTCTAATAATCAGTACCTACTTCATTATTGGAAAGAACCAAATAAAATGTTTTCTTTCAAAGAAAATTGTTTGATTCTGAATTATATCAGGCTTCAAGGAACCTTCCTTGTAATTTTCTCAATGACAGAGAAATAAATACCATAATCTCTGTAGCAACACTGACAACTAAAGATGGTGGTTGATAGGTACAAGTGTGGATCCAGGGTCCCAAGTAGTGTAGGTTGCCCCCCCCCCCCTCCTCCTGGACAGGTATATAGTTGCAAGCATAAGTTGGTGGTGCCATGGTACATATGCTGTTTGGAACATTTGGGTATCTTTGGAATATTACAATGCTTATATGATGTGTTGATAGTAGACCTTCTTTTAGGGATGATGTCCAGTGGGATGAAACGCTAGAAGCCCAAGCATTGGAAAATGTCCGAGCTAATAGTGGAATTAAATTCACTAAAGAACAAATAGATCAATATGAGAAAGAGGCTGATAAACATTGGGATGCTTTTTATGACATTCACACTAACAGATTTTTCAAAGACCGACACTGGCTTTTTACAGAGTTTCCTGAACTAAAATCTGAAAATGACTGTACACAAACTATATTTGAAATAGGATGTGGAGTTGGCAATACTATCTTTCCTATATTGCATTATTCAACAAATAAGAATTTGTTTATCTATGGCTCAGATTTCTCCAAAAAGGCAATTGATATCATGAAAGAGGCTCCTGAATATGATCCAAGTAGATGTAGTACTTTTGTTTTGGATGCTACTATAGACTCTTGGGATGTTCCATTTGAAGTGAATAGCATAGACATTGTTGTACTCATTTTTGTTTTGTCTGCTATAAACCCAGAAAGGTATGTTATAAAGGACAGAAAAAGGTAGATATGAATTTACATCCAGTTTTGTATTAAGAGAACTACCTTTCTGTACATCATCATATTTATTTAATCCTGCAAGCAAAATTTTACATTTGCAAGGAAAGACTGGTCGTAACCGAATTTGATACTCCAAGAAAAATCGATTAAGAGCTGTGATTTTTAACCATCAAATATTTATATCAGGTTGTCAAAAACGGCACGAAGTTACTCTCCAAAGATGATTAATTTCCCGCCAATTTTATATCAGGAGTAGGAGTGTCTTGACATAATATCTCATCGCATTTCTGTGATCTTAATAACATTTGCCTATCAATGTTTTCGACTTACTATTAGATACTGTATATACTTACTTAGTTTCCTCATATATATATTTTTTATTGGTTTTAGCGCTTTATTTATATCAGAATGTTTTCAGATTCAGCAATGTGATAGCCAATATTTATAGGTATCTGAAACCTGGTGGGTTAGTCATGTTCAGAGACTATGGAAGATATGATTTGGCACAACTAAGGTTCAAACCTGGTCAATGCTTAGGAGACAATTTTTATGCTAGAGGAGATGGTACAAGAGTATACTTTTTCACTCAAGGTAAGCAAGTTTGCTTCTCTTTCAATTTTCTTTTATAAAAAAAAACAGAACGTTTCAAGGGCCATCCATGGTAACATAAAAATAAATTTGCAGATGAAGTGAAAACTTTGTTTGAAAGTAACGGGTTTGAAGAAATTGAAAATAGGGCAGACAGAAGACTGCAGGTGAACAGAGGAAGATTATTGAAGATGTACAGGGTATGGATACAAGCAAAATACCAAAAACCTGGATAATCTTAATGAAACACGTTTATACATATATGTACTTTTATTATTACATAATTTCATTATGTTAAAGTGATATACTTTAAAACTTTAAGATCAAAAATAAAAACATTTTTAAAGGTACACTGAAGTCTATATTTGAAAATAATGAAACGTAACTGACTTGCAGGGTCATCGAAATTCAACAAATTGCAAAAGTAATGGTAAAACCATAACTATTTGTACTTATTCTAAAAAATAGTTTTAGTGTAAACAAACCATAGGATTTTCGCCAAATTTTCACTCTAAAAACATGCACTCTATAAAAGGATATTCAAAATACGATTTTTTATTAGCAAAGGTCAAACGTATTTTAATTGACTGTAAAAAATTAGCCTTTCATAATACACAAAAAATAAATTATGTATCATTATGCACAAATGACATTAACAGTGAATCTACAAAACATTAACATTCCACAAAACGTATCTTTTTTACTTAAGACTATTTCTCATGAAAAACTAACCTGTATGACTTTTTGATCATACATTTACTAAATAATATAATGGAAGACTGTACCCGATTTGTACCTGATAATAATAGCAATACAAATATGGGAAAGCCTTATTTACACAGAGACAATACCAAGAAAAATACTTGGCTTGGGAGCAAGTTTGTAAACCATCCTTCAGTTTACTAAGGCTAGTAAGGTTCCTTCAAAAAATTGGGTGGAATTCAATGTATTCTTCCTTATTTTGATATTTACAAGAACTGCTTAATGCCTAGTTCAGAAAAAATCTTCAAGAGATACAACCATGGGGGTGTGGGACCATATGAATGCATCTATTTTCAAGACACATTTTGTGGGTTTTTAGTATCTATATTCATGTAGAACAACTTGCAGTAGACTTGAAAACATCTCACAAGAAGTATGCTAACTCCATATATACATGTCAAACCTTATGAATGTTTGGAGTTTTTCAAAAAGCCATTCCTATCAGATACATTATTTTTATTTTGTTCTATAGGGTACCTTTAAGAAAATTGGTAAAAATTATTTAGTATATGTATTATCAAAGTATGAGTGTTACATTCATGAAAAGTTGAAGATATATATTTCATTCCAATTTTGGACTTCAGGAGTATGAAAACAATGCATCAGTTTGAAGGAACTGTTTTCAAGTATTCTCACATTCAGAGTGTACAAGATTGATTACTTTATAGTAGATGCATGTTTAGCTATAACAAAAAATCCATTTTTTGACGAACTCATCCAGTACAAATAACCATTGATCAACATATATTACCTGGAGATACACAACCTAATGCTTTATCCCGCATCCAGCAAACTATCTAAATTGAAATGAGATACCGTAGCGTCACCTATAAGAATTTGTTACAGCTATACGTCTCCTCTCCACACTAATTAGAACTCTGAAAAGCATAGTGACTCATAGATGGCGTTGTAGTAAAATATATAATATATGCTAATATAGTTGGCAGATGAGACACTATCCACTAAGTAGACTTCTAATTAGTGTAGAGGAAAAAAATGGCTGTAACAAATTCGCATAGGTGGCGCTACGGTATCTTAATCTGGATAATTTTGGACGCGGGAGTATAGCATAATGTTGGGTATCTTCAAGGAGAGTGCGTTCATCAAATATCCCACAAAATTGTTCTTTAATCACAAATTTGTTCTGCAAAAAACATTAAATTTACTAAAAATGTGTGCTATAAGCTGAAAAAAAAACATTTTGAAGAATCCTTATACATCTTAAAAATAGTAGTACAAATTAATTTAAATCTTGTACACCCCGCACAAGTCATAACAATGTCCAACTCAATTTTCTCGTCATTGTTCTCAACAGTAATATTAGTAATTTACAAAGTACTACAAAAAATCTGGAAATTTTATTACTTATACATGTACGTAGATATAATTTGATATCGATTCGTTTAACTTTCCATTTTTTTACCAAAAATTAGTATTTCTCGACAAGTCTCGAGTGTGAAGAATGCATACCTGCAGTACGTTTATTGGATATCCCAATGCCTTCAAAGCCCAAAACTGCGACGTTGCCATTTTGGACTTCAAATTAAGGCAACAAGGTGTTTAAAACGCTTACTTGTTAAGGCTCCATGATCACAATATGCACAGTTTTGATTGACAGCGAGCGGTTGTCTACCCACCAGTCAGAAAATCTTAAAAGATATTTTTTCGTATCGAATATGATATAAACTCAACAAAACAGTTTTAGGCGAATCCGATTTCACGTTCCCTCTTCTTCTTCGGCGATTATTTTCGTATAGGCTGCGTGGACGCTTTCGCAAACAAATCGATATTGACTCTAAAACAAAAAATATCAATTATATCATATATCATATACTATATCATTTTGATGTTTAATTGTTGTGTTATAAGCGATTCAGAGTACAAAATTATTAATTTTGACAGTCAGCATCTGACATTTTGAAAGATAGAACATTTATACTCTAGCGCTATGTAGATAGAGTGCTACAAAATGATGTCACATAAACCCCATTCCATTTAAGGAATCTTTCAAAATGGCGCCTTGCCTCCATTTAAAGAGTCAGTGCACCATTTTGGAAGATTCCTTTATAGCTTACTGATGTTTTGAGATAACCACCAATAATTCATAGTCAAATTACTTAGTATTTCAACGTTACCACGAAAATTAATGGTGACCTATGATTTAGGCTTTTCATCATATATACTATACGAACTTGACCCGCTTAAAAAATAAGTTCGGAGGTAGACCTCTTTGAAAAGAACTGAATATCTACTGTTTTATTTTTCGTTTCGACGGATCCTATACGTATACAGTGTGTTTCAGAAAGACGTGCCAATATTCCTAGGCTAGAAAGTACATCCAAAAATAACTAAAAAAGATCCTATAACACGTTGAATGCCATGGCGGTCGCATACGACCGCCTGCAAATATCTCCACCATACCATGGCGGTCGTATGCGACCGCTCCATACTTGCCTTCTAAATTCATTTATGCTGTGCCACTGGTCGTTGATAGGCACATAATTATTATGGCAGAAAACGGCTATGGCATACACGCCTAGCTTAAGTTAAGAGGTTTTCGGTGTAGCTCACAAGGAAAGCGAAAATAATTTCTGAAGTCGTCTTTTAACTTTTATTGAAAAATATATATAAAAAACATATGCAACGAAATTATCACTTTTTATCTCAATAAGTATTCAAAATGTTGCCCGCTAGGGTTTGTCAAATCTACCGTTCGTTTATAATTTAAAACGGAAACTACCAACATAAACAGCAATCCGGAAGATTAGACGTGGCATCATCCAAATAACAACTCGATTTTTTTCCTGCATGCTTTTCATCAACACAGATATCCTGGGCGAACTGTATTCATTGTTATTCCTGTTTAGTTATTTGTCGTTAAGGAAAAAAATATTGTAAGAGTTAACAGAAGATGATTTCAATAGGCAAGTTGAGTTTTGTGAACAAATGACTGCAGTGATTTATAATAATACCATTCATGTAAAGAATATCTGCTTCAGTGATGAATGCACATTTTATCTAGAAGGATTTGTTTATAAGCATAACTGCAGGTATTGGAGCAATGCAAATTCTCATGCTTTTGTAGAAGGGCATACCCAGTACCCCCAAAAGATTAATGTATGGACAGACATTTTAGGAAACAATGTGATTGGGCAATTTATTTAAATATGTTGGAAAATACCATCAATATGCTTATCACTGAAACCATAGAAAACCAAATCGAAAAGGATGGAAACCCTATACTTGATGAGGCTGAAATATATATATATATGTATGACGGCGCTCCTCCTCACTATGTTCTTCCGGCTCGGCAATGGCTATATGACGAGTTTTTAGATAAATGGATAGGGCAAAGAGGGCCTATAGAATAGCCTTCTAGATCTCCTGATTTGACGCCATTAGACTTTCTTCTATGGGGCAATTTGAAATCTATTGTGTTTACTCCCAATCTGAAAGTTTGGATGGACTTCGTCAACGCATCATCGAAATCTGCCATGATATCCCACAACATGTTTTTGAAAATGTCCGTCAGGAATTTGAACATCACCTGTATCATTGTTTTGCCAATACCGGGCAACACTTATTGAGATAAGAAGTGATATTTTCGTGTGTTTTGATAAATGACTATTTTTCTAATTTTCTTGAAAACGGATCGACCGATTTTGAAAAATCAAACGTCAAAATAAAGGACCTCAAAAGACCATTCAAACAAGCTGTTACTCGATACCTCTTGTCATTTGAAATTTTTAAGGGGGTAACCCTGGTGGCAGAGGGTGAAATAGTTTTTGGTTGACAAATTTTTTGACGTGTCTCGGCGTTTTTTCTTTTAATCAGTAGTTTTCTATAGATCCGTGGTGGGAAGTGTTCAATTGGCACCATATATATATATATACGATATATATATTATGTTACCGGACAAACCCGATTTTAGGATAAACTAGTTTTTCCTAGGCCAAACCAGTTTATCCGAAGAGCGATAGGATGAACTAGTTTATCCTAGCCTAAACTGGTTTTTCCTGAAACAGTTAATTATGATTAGGAAAAACTGATTTGTCCTAGTCTACATACAGTCTTTTGACAAAATTAACGTTTTTACTAGTAATTAAAGAAAACACCATGTTTAGTAATTTTTATTATTTACTTGTTATTACATGTCAAACTATTATGGCATTTCGAGTTGCAGAGAACGTTATTTTTCTTGCAAAGACATCGATTCGACATACACTTCTTGGTGCAACTACACTTAAAGAAACCTTGGCCTGTCCCAACTGAATGTTTTATCGCTGCGATTCTTAACGAAATTTCATTGTTCTTGTTTACTTCTTCTTCCAATAAAAACTTTTGTGTGCAGATATCAAATTCATTTCTGAAATGAAAATATTCAATTAAAATCAAATAAAAACCGTAGCAAAATGAATAATTACCTGCAATATAATTTTTGTAAGATACCATGCTTGGTCCCAATCTTATAAAATCCATCATCAGATGCTTCAAGCACAACTCCAATAACGTTCCGAAGATCTCCTTTAGCCCTGTCTACATCAGGAGTAGGTATGATGATGGTATCTCCAACTTTCGCTGGTGGATGCACCTTGTGAGAGGTTGCTTTCATCTTTTTGGCTTGTTTTTCAAGGCTCTGCGCAGCCTTTGATCGTGCTTCTAAAATATTTTGTGAGGTTTCATCCATGTCATCGTCTCCATTCCTATCTTCGTCTCCATTCTTATCTTCGTCTCCATCCGTATCTTCGTATCCATAACTGCCTTCATTTTCATGTCCATCTATGTTTTTCCCATCAATCAGTTTTTGAAGATCGTCTTCGTCTTCAATGTCCGAAGGTAATGAACTAGTAGAGAGGCCAACCTTGAGTTCCGCACCAAACATGGCCTTATAAGGCGATTGTTTAATTCTAGAATGAAATGCCCGATTTTTCATAAACTGTATGTACCTTAGTCTTTCTGACCATTTAGTTGTCTCGCTGTCATTCATGCAAGCACTCAGCATGTTTTCAATATCTTGGTTTGCTTTTTCGACTGATCCCTGACTTTGACTATGTCGTCGTTTTCCATGCACGATTTTGAGCTCTGGCCATAAGCTTGTCACTTCTAAAATTACACGATTCACAAATTCTCGGCCATTGTCAGATTGTAGAATGCATGGGGCCCCGAAAGTTAAAAATATATCATTTAAATGGTAGGCTACCTCTTCTGCTCTCTTACTTTCCAATGGACGAAGCAGGACAAATTTTGTTAGGTGGTCCTGATACACCAATATAAATTTAAACTTTCCATCTGGTTGTGTCTGGAAGTCAATAAGATCGACTTGGCATCGGCTATTCATTTCGGTGTGCAAAATCGGTTTGGAGACTAATCCTTTCTTTTTTTTCGTCTTTTTTTGTTGACAGACCATGCACATAGATAAAAAAAGACATATCATTTCTTTTGTGATATTCGCAAACTTTTTAGAAGTTTCAGCCAACATTCTGTAACGACCACCATGTCCCACTGCTATGTGAGCTGCATCAATAACGTCATGTAACTCATCAGCGGTGAGATAATACTTTATATTATTTGTATTTCTTTCATTTCGTGCGGTAAGTTTCTTTACACCTCCGATTTTCACCACATCAAATCTTTTCAGTCTTCTTTGTTGCAAGGGTGATTTATTTTCCGTTTTTTTAGCCTCTTCCACTTGTTGGATAAGTGCCAAATACTTTTCCTTTGTCAAAACATTAAAATGAGTTGATTTTTCGTCCTCAGATCTTAAAACCTCTACCAAGAATTTCTGCCTCCACTTTTTTTGACCTACGTGCCCACTTGATGAAGCCTCATCCATGTTAATGAGATACAGAAATAATCTGCGAACTTTAGATACATAAACAATCACGAAATGTTTCAGAATGTTTAGCTTATGGACAACACGCACAATACGCAACGATTTTGCAATAAGACGAACGCTGCATAACAGTCAACGTACGCGTGCAAACTAAATCCTTGCGATCGGCGCCGGCGAGCCAAACCAAGGTTCAGACGAGTTCAGACTAGTTAAATCGCGGGTCGAAATAGTTTAGACTAGGACAAATCAGTTTTTCCGAATCATAATTAACTTATTTCAGGAAAAACCAGTTTAGGCTAGGATAAACTAGTTCATCCTATCGCTCTTCGGATAAACTGGTTTGACCTAGGAAAAACTAGTTTATCCTAAAATCGGGTTTGTCCGATAATATATATATATATATATATATCGTAAATAAAACTTCATCATCCTGTTATATCGGTAGGGGAGCACCTTTGGACCCATCCATATTTATAGGATTTTTTTGTTTTTTTATCTTTGATGTACTTTCTACCTTAGAAATATTGGCATGTCTTTCTGAAACACCCTGTTTAATAGCTCCAAAAATAATGAATTTGAATATATACTCACAGCATTCTGTATCATCATGGCCCGCTGCCTTCTCATACTCCTGACCATCTCCAGCGGTCTGACCGGCCTCCCCCTCTCTATAGCGCACAGGGCGGTCTCCGCGAGCACCAGAACGCCCGTTCGGCCGATGCCCGCACTGCAGTGCACCACCAGAGGCGCATCAGATGCGCCAGTGCGTCTCGCTTCGCGCACTCGTTCGACGAATTGAAGGAAGGCGGCGGGCGAGTCGGGAACGCCGTGGTCCGGCCAGGCTGTGTACTGGAGGTGGCGGATTCGACGTTGGTCGCACGTCTGGAATCAAACAATAGCGGGAGTGAGAGTAGCTATAATAAACTTGCAAAACGGCATTATGACACACGCAATTAACTAGATTGCGAAGGCTCCATAGAGAATGCCGAAAGCTTGATTTTATCGTCAAAAGAGTCAACTTAAGCCTAAAAATTTGCCAATTTCCCAATTAACAGTTGATTGAATTTTGTGCCCAACTGGTCGTTGGCTTTGGCAATGACTACTGCTCATATATATATATATATATATATATATTATTGTAATTAAATGTGATTTGAACTCGTCTGTATTTTTATACTTTGAATGTGCCTAGTTTGTTTTATTTAGTATTAATGCTGAGTGTGTACTTTTTTGTGCACTGTAAGCTTTTGTTTTTCTTTTCTTGACATGCGTGAGTGTTTTCGCATGCCTGACATCAATATAGATTATTATTATTATTACTACTAGATTTGCGTTTTCCAAGCAAACTACCATGTAATAAATCACACAAATTATAACAAATCTAAGCAGATAAGTTTGACTAATCTAACTGCAATTTAATTGAATGCAGTAAATGCACGATGCAAATGCAATTTCGGTCGGATCAGTGACTCAGCGCTTCCGCGCTAGACATGTCAAATTCCATTATTAATTTTCAAATAGCAATGCAAAATATGTACCCAAAATGCTATGTGAAATCACAAAAAAATATAATCACGCTAAATAGTCATTGAGACAGTTAATTTTCAAATAGGAATGCAAAATACATACATTTATGAACCCACAATGTTGTGTGAAATCACAAAAAATAAAATAGAATCACGCTAAATATACTAAGTGACATATAAATCCGAACACCCAGTTTAAATGGTTTTATTTGTTGGTGAATGTATTTATCTTACTGTAAATAACAAGTGAAAAAAATTTCATCCTTATCAGTTGGACATTCCGGTTTTTATACTGCTTTTTTTTAATTCACTAACGCTCTAAAAATGAATATTTCAGCCGCAGTAAAGAATCAACGTTGGCGGATTTTGGTTCTTGACATCCTTTACGATCGGTTACGATGCCTAGAGTACGGAGCCCTTTACGATTTCGTCAACTTAGTGAGTTTGATAGGGGCCGTATCGTGGGACTTCGGGAAGCTGGACTTTCTTTTCGGGCAATTGCAGTTAGAGTGCAAAGAAGTGTAGACGCTGTGGTTAGGTGTTGTCAGGCAGGGCTTCGAGAAGGCCGTACGCAAAGAGCAAGGGGCACTGGACGCCGCCGTAGAACAACAGACCGTGAAGATCGCCGCCTAAGATTATTGGCCTTAAGGGACCGTTTCTCCACTACCAGGTCCATTGCAAATGAATGGTTTGCAGAACACGGAAGACCTATTGGCAGGCGAAGTGTTTACCGACGAATGAGAAGTTTTGGCTTGTTTTCATACCGGCCACACTGGGTCCTCCCTTTAACTCGAGAACACCGACGTAATCGCCTTGAGTGGTGCAGACAACGGTCACTCTGGGATCAGGAATGGAACAGTATTGTCTTTAGTGACGAGTCTCGATTTTGTTTAGGCATGCACGATGGTCGTGATAGGGTTAGAAGGCGACGTGGTGAAAGGAGGAATCCAGTTTTTTGTTGAAAGACATGTTCATCACACTGTTGGAGTTATGGTTTGGGATGCTATAGCTTATGGTTCCTGGTCACCTTTAATTTTCGTCAGAGGAAACATGAACGCGCAGCGTTATATCCACGAAGTTCTAGAACCCCATCTTTTACCCTATCTTGACACCCTGGCAGATCCAACTTCCCAACAAGATAATGCCCGACAACATGTTGCAAGAGTCACAATAGACTTATTTCAACATAATGATGTCACATTGTTACCATGGCCACCAAGATCTCCCGACTTATCACCAATTGAGCACGTGTGGGATATGATGGGTAGGAGATTGCTCAATTTGCAACGTCCTCCTCAGACTCTAGAAGCACTTCGAGAGGAGTTGGTGGTTGCCTGGAATGAGACACCACAGGAGGACATTGACCACCTGATCAGAAGCATGCCTAGGCGCGTTGGAGAATGCGTAGCACATCAGGGTGCATCCACACATTATTAAAGGTCAAAGGGCTTTAAAGCAGTGCAATCATTTTGAAATTTTTATCATTTACTTATTATGCTTCATTAAGTACTTATACAAAATTTTATTAAAATAAAACCATTTAAACTGGGTGTTCGGATTTATATGTCACTTAGTATAGTCACTGAGACAGTAAGGTTCTAGATCTATTAAAAATGTGTGTCCTTTTCAATTCAAATTACATACTTTTTTATATCTGGAACAGGATGCTATAGAAATGTCTAGTGTTATAGTTACCCCCTGGTAGATACTTTTCAAACATATGTCGATTTTTGAAGACCAACAGTAAGACTTATTAAAGTAAATAAATAGCAGTTATAGTTAAAATATTATTAGAACTAAATTTTCCACGGCATGATTCTCTTTGTGACATTTCAAGTACAAGTATACATTTCAGAGCCCTTTTTTGACTATCAAAAGTCGATTTATATAAATCATTTGTGCATAAAAAATATTCCATTTCTTAGGATAGATTCAAAATTAGCATGGTATGTAATTTTCAGAGTATCAACACTAAGATTGTTATTTAAAACCCGCAGAGTGTAACATTCACCACTTAGCTTATTTTTTGTTTTTTCTATATGTTCTGACCATTTGGGTACTCCATCTACCGTAGCAGACAAAAGTTTGGAAACAAATATTAACATTATTATGAAGTATCTCATACACCTAAATTAAAAATGTGAAGGAACAAATAATATAAATATTAAAGTCTCCCTTTGACTCCCTTACTAATACAAGGTTTATCTTATCAATATTCAAATTCTCTGAAAATAAAAACACGCGTTTTTTACGTGTAACAACAAAAGTATGGAAACATTTCAGTTTTGCCGTATTTATTCGTTCTGCGATACTATGATATTGCGATTTAAGCAACAAAGTAATTGAATTGTTTTTGAAGAGGTGTCAGAAATGTTGACATTCCTCAAAGATTAAAAAGTGAACAAAGTGACGATGTCGAAAATTATTATGCGGCCCAGCTGCGGAAGACCGAAAAAACCGATTATGTTGTGGATCGCTTCATTAAACGTTTGTCTCATGAAGATCCTCGAATGCCAGAAACCCGGATTTTCAAAAGAATCGTAGAAGAGGGTGCCGAGAATATTTCTGTCAGAACAGTGCAGAGACGCTTGATGGATTTTGTGCTTTTTGGCAGGCGTCCAGTGCAAAAGCATCTCATTTAAAAAAAAATCGTACTGCTCGGCTTGAATTTGCTAAAACTCATCTAACTCGGACAAAACAGCAATGGAATACAGTTTTATGGAGCGATGAAAGCAAATTTAACTTGTTTGGATCTGGCGATACGGCATATGTGAGACGTCCAATACGAAAAAGATTCAACAAAAAGTATCAGTTGCCAAGAGTTAAGCACGGTGGAGGCAACATCATGGCTTGGGGCTGTTCTTCTAGTTCTAGGTCCAATTGTTAAAATTGTTGGGCAATTAGATCAAAAAGTTTACAAAGATATTCTTAGGGAACATATTTTACTGAAGAAGAAGAAGTGCCTTTACGATGGACATTCCAGTAAGATAAAGACCCCAAGCATACCTCAAATTTTGGTGAAGGACTGGTTAAGACTAACAAAATGTTCTTATGTGGCCTTCGCAATCCCCGGACCTAAACCCTATAGAACTGACAAGAAAAAACTTTTACAAATAGGAACAATTTATTTGATTATGTTAAAAATATTCGGCAAAATATCCCAACAGACGTCTGTAAAAAATTGGAGTCTTCTATGAGCAGCAGATGTCAGGCAGTGTTGAATTCTAAAGGCTATGCTACCAAATATTAGCTGAACAGTATTTTTAAATCGTTTTGTAGAGTTATTGTATTTAATTTTGTAATAAAAAATTTGTTTCCATACTTTTGTCGTCTCATTTTTGGTCATAAAATAATATGAAGGTATTTTAATACTAGACTGTAGTAACAGAGCAAAAACAAATTGTCATTTGTATCTTGAAGACTGTAAGCAAACTATATGAGAAAAAAAATAGTCCTTAATAATAATAAATAAAAAATTAGCGCACTTTTTAAAAATTACTGAGAATGTTTCCAAACTTTTGTCCTGTACATGTACTCCGAGAAATTTGGTGTTATTCTGCATTTCAAGATCTATTTTCTCTGTCAAAGCTATTTTAGGACTTGAAAATCATTATATTTGTTTGTTCTGCATTTAACACTAATTTGTTCTTTGTAAAGCAATCCGACATATTATCATTTTGTACAGTTAGCAGAATGCTAGTATCATCTCCATATTGAGATATTAATGCTTTAGAGAAAATCCAAATTTAATGACATATCGTTTACAAAAACTATAGATAAAAGGGGTACAAGGATACTACCCTGAGGGATGCCCACTGATGTGTGAATCTCATTTGATCTAGCCGTTTTACCTTTTTAGTAATCATAGTTTTGCTTGCGTTGTGAGCGACAAGATGTAACATATTTTAGAAGACTTCGACTTATATGGTTCACACAATCACATGCTTTTGACAGGTCCAAAAACAATCCAAAAGGTATATCTCCACTTTTAAGACTGTACAATTTGACAGTTAAATTGGTGAATTGCTGTCGTTTTTGATTTACCCTTTATAAAGCCGTGTTGTGTTTCAGATATAAGATTATGTTTACTGGTGTGGTCCATTATACGTTCGTAAATTACTTGTTGAAAAAGTTTTGCAAAACTAATAGGTCTGTAATTCATCATGTCTTGGGATCTCCCTTTTAAAATACTGGAATAATAATTGCAAATTTGAGTTTATCTGGGAATATACCATTTTAAACAAGTATTAATGATGTAGGCTAAAGATCTAGCAATAATAAAGATGCAAGTCTTTAGTAGGCTTGTAGAGAATACCATCTTCACCATTACTTAAGAGAAAGGAACAGTTAGAATCTACTCAATCAAATTAGAGATGTAGTTGATATATTCACTCGCAATATCTTCAGCATGACCATTAATCATATGTTATAGAGACTGATATAAATGTTCGATAAAGTTTATTTTATTTTACCTGTACGTCCACCAGGATAAATTCTCTGAAGTGAACACCTCCAGTCTCATCTAACTCCTCTGTTTCGGTCTTGACAAGGACATTGTGCAACGCCATCTCTTCGCCCAAATCGGGCCAGTACTTGTGACATTTCGGTCGTCCTCTTTCGGATAATGTCGTTACCATCACAATTAGATCGCAATCCTGAAATTAGGATGCAAAAAATCCAAAACTTATTACAATTCTCTTCATAGTACCATGGTTAATGTATACTTATCTCATGACAAAGACCTTATGCACCCTCTAGGGCTCCTCATCAAAAATGCATCCAATATATCCAAGGCCTTCACCATCCAGTCAACTATATTTTTAATCCTATAGTACCATAGAGCTTTATGTCAAAAGTGTCTGCGTACGAAGCTCTAAGCGTTCTTATTGCAATAGTCCCCTGGACGCCTTAGAAATCAGAGTCCTCGGATATAAAAGAAGATTTTTTTGGACAGGGAAAGCTTTTATAGCAACTGAAAAGCTCGAGGGTATTGCAGAGAGAGATATTCTCTAGAAATGCGGTATACACTATAACCCCTCAATCAGTCTCTACACATCCAGTCATGGTAATGCTTGCAGCATTTCCATATAGTGGATAGCATTATGCTAAGTTTTCATACCAAAGGTATTAGTCATCTACTCTCCATCGTACATGTACATCCATTCGTACCTTGGTCTATTTTTGTCCTCCTGAACCGTGCTTAGCATCATTCGCCTCACTACTAGTTGAATATAAACCCATTTTCCCCTCGCTTACATGCGTGGTAAATTGCCAGCAGTGAGCCTCTCGCTGAGCGAGACTTGGGTAGCATTATGTAAGTCGAGCTTGAAGGTGTAGATCCACCGAGGCGAACCGATGCGAAAAGATCTACGCCGATGTTTGTGATTTGCACACGTCAAACGCGAAACGTCGCTCCGCTCAACGTACGTTTCAGTGCGCAAGCTATCATTTGACTACTTTTAAAGGAATCCAGTGGAACAGTTCCACTTTTCTCTCCCCTCAATGCACGTGCACCTTAACATTCTCTATTTTCTTGATAATGGGGACTTTTAACAATTTCTCTAGGTGGCAGTTCAATTCGTGTAGTTTTTTGTTATCTGTTTTCTCACCTGTTCGAGTATCATCTGCCAGAAATCATCAACGGTATTCGGCAATGGTCCCTGTGTCGCAATGTATCGATTGCTAATGCCCCCTTCACACATAGTCACGTAATTGGCGTTGATATAGTCGTTGCCCCCAGGGGCGTTCAACAGTACCACACGGGTCGAATCGTCTGAAAAAAAACGTGGCGTCAAGTAGATTAAATCTTTGTCTTGCTTCCCAATTCTAGACAAATGGACTTTGAATATGCAGCATGTATAGTACCTTCTATCAATCTTTGCACACACTGGTATCTTTAGTTATTTGAGGCCTATGAAAATCTTTGTACCTTGACATAAGACTATAAAGTAGAATTAGTATCAGTGAAAAACAGTATTGTTGATTCAAAAACATTAAAATTATGAACTTTGAATATGCACCATTAGTCAACTTTCGCATGTTCTGCTCTTAGCGACCGTTCAAGTATTACGTAAGCATTAAAGAGAGGCGGGCTTGCGTATTTTCGATAACATGGTGATTCCGTCAGCAATATTTATTCTTTTACTTTTTCGGATTTCCTACAAAATTTAGTCGATTTCAATTTGAGCTATAGTTGTTTTTTTTTAGTTTTTTTTTGGATTATATACAAAATTTAGTCGATTTCGATTTGAATTTGGTTGAATTATTTTTTGCAAATGCCCTATGACTATTTTTTCCCAATGATTAAGTTGAACAAGCAACATGTGTATTCTTTATTATGCTTCCATCAAGTCATTAAATCGACACCTCGAGAAGATGTACACAAAAGTAAACAGTTATTCCGTGGACTTCTAGACTGGATAACTGCTGCATACGAATCAATAGAGAAACCAGAACAAATTAAAAATTCATGATCAATGTTTACGTAAGCAGGAGGGGTTAATAATAGTAAAAAAATGCCTTACATAATACTTGAATGGGCCCTTATTGAAAGACGTGAAGATCTGGCAACGTCAGTCGAGCTATGCTTGAGCATTGTAGCGGTGAGAGATTAGACGGCGATTTTTTTTGTCCATAGCTCCGCCGCCACTGGACCCATTTTCAAAATCTACAACGCGTTTTCGTCATTGGTACAGTAGTAACCTTGTGTGAAAATTTCATCCAAATCACCGCTGTGGCGTGGTAAGTAAAACGTAAAAGTTTGGAACAAAAATGCACCTTATGCCTTCTTTTATCGAGTTTCTACGGTTTTGACCGGCAAGCTTCGTCATTTGACTTTTAGGGCGACAAGCCTCTTCGGCAATTCGAAAATTTGTGCGTTTGGTAGTAAAAAAAAACTACTTACAAGGCGATATGTCTCTATAACGATTCTTAGGCAGGTTCTGTGCTTTCATGGCTTCGTCACACGGCATATCTGGGTGTTTTCTGTAGAGAGTTTCGTATCTGGCCAATAGAGCTCCGCTGGCCAGTCCCTCGGCCAGAGTTTGCATGCTTTTGCGTAGTGCTTCTCCCGGTATCGAAAAGTCGTACTGTTCTTCGGGTTCTGGGGAATCTTGGAGCAGTACGGTTGGTTTAACAGTGAGGAAGAGTTTTCCTGAATGGCAAATACAAGGGTATCCAGGTTAGTGTGTAAATTATTGGCAAGATTTAATCAACGACACAGTGGATTACACAATTGAACACACATAAGTTCAGGAAGTATTTCAATATGTATCGTAATTGATCCATTTTTACTATTTCCTGACAAACCTCTGAATATAAGGTGATCCAGCACATTATAAATATTAAAAATTGTAGCATACTGAATTGAAATCAAATAAATTTCATTCATATAAAACATTAAATTGTAATACATATTAGTTGTGTTATTTCTAAAGGGCTCATATCGAGAAAAAATACTCTTGTATTAATATAGGAGAGGTAGCAGTGTCACACATATGGCTATTATTTTTCCTACTGGATCAACAGGGCGAAGCGTCAATGGTGAAATGGAATAAAACTAGCCTTGTATGAGATACTCTAATGAAGTTCTTCTTTTGCTTGAAAGCAACCCAAAGATGAAAGAATTTGATTTTTAGGTTACTAAATCGATCTTTTCATGCGAATGGATCATTTCATTTAAAAGCTATAGGTTACATCATTGATTAACGTATTTTTCCTGCAGTCAACGTAATGGACTGATTAGACTGCTTAAAATGCCGCAGAAAATGTTATAATTATGTTCTCTGTTTAAAATTGTTAATCGTGTCACAGATTGCCCAGAGGTGCTTGCACAAATAAATCTTGATGTTAATGAAAGACGAACCAGTAATACGATTCCACATTATTCTACAAATTATGGTATGACTGAACCAGTTATTAGAATTTTTAGATCTGGCATCGCCGACGTAAGGTACAATATACACTGTGTTCATTTGAAAACTTCCCACCACGGATTTATTGAAAACCACTGATACGCCGAGACACGTCAAAAGATTTGTCATGGGGGACAATGTTTTAACCAAAAACTACTTCACCCCCTTTCATGCTCGCCCACCTTAATAATTTTAAATAACAAGGGGTATCGAGTAATAGCTTGTTTGAGAGGTCTTTTGAGATCCTTTATTTTGACGTTTGACTTTTTAAAATCAGTCGATTAGTTTTCGAGAAAATTAGAAAAATCTTTATTTATCTAAAATATCACTTTTTATTTCTATGTGTTCAAAATGTTAACCGCTAGGGTTTACCGAATCTATTATTTCATAACTTAAAACTTAAGCTACCAACAACAGCAATTCGGAAAATTAACAAATAACAACCAGATTTTTTTTACCTTTTCATCAACACAAATCCTGGACGAACTGTATTTATTGTCATACCTGTTTAGTTATTTGTTGCTAAGGGAAATAAAGAATTTAATTTGCTGTCAGTTATCTTTGTGACAATCTTGGGACAGTGAAAATTAATTTATCGATTTAGATTTTACCTCCAAAATGATTTACACACTAGCTGAAAGAGTGGAAATGATTCTAATTTATGGTGCTCAAAATCAATGTGCTCGACAAACTGCCATTTTGGACCTTGTTACTAAATTTACTCAAACTGGATCTGTTGCAAATAAAAAACGTGATCATCAGTTTTGGATGAAGCCGCTCAAGTTGAAGTTCTGGGTCATTTTGGAATAAATCCTAATACTTCATTACGCAAAATTGTTGTTGCGACTGGTATTTCATTAGGCTCTGTACATACAGTTACTAAACTCCATAAATTTCATCCATTCAAAATGAAAATATTGCAAGAGTTAACCGAAGATGATTTCGATAGGCGAGTTAAGTTTTGTTAACAAATGACTGCAGCGATTAATGATAATACCATTCATGTAAAGGATATTTGCTTCAGTGATGAATGGACATGTTATCTAAATGGATTTGTTAACAAGCATAACTGAAGGTATTGGAGCAATGAAAATCCGTATGCTTTTGTAGAAGGGCATACCCAGTACTCCCAAAAAATTAATGTATGGGCAGGCATTTTAGGAAACATGGTGATTAGGCCATTGTTTATCAATGGAAATTTGAATGGGGACATTTATTTGGATATGTTGGAAAATACCATCAATCCGCTTATCACTGAAAGCATTCAAAACCAAATCGAAGAGGATTGAAACCCTATACTTGATGAGGCTGAAATATATTTTCAGCAAGACGGCGCTCCTCCTCACCATGTTCTTTCGGTTCGGCAATGGCCAGATCAATGGATAGGGCGTAGAAGGCTTATAGACTGGCCTGATAGATCTCCTGTTGACGCCATTAGACTTTTGTCTATAGGGCCATTTGAAATCTAATGTGTTTACTCCCCAACCTGAAAGTTTGGATAACTACGTCAACGCATCATCGAAAGCTGCCATGATATCCCACATGTTTTTGAAAATGTCCGTCGGGAATTTTAATATCGACTGCCTATATCATTGTTGGGCCAATAACGGGCAACATTATGAACACTTATTGAAATAAAAACGAATGAACCAATTTAAAAAAATCAATCGCCAAAATAAAGGGCTTGGAAAGACCTTTCTAACAAGCTATTACTCGATACCCCTTGTCATTTAAAATTTTCAAGGGGATAATCCTGAGGGACAGCAGTTTTTGGTTAAACAGTTGTCTCCCTTGACAAATCCTTTGACGTGTCTAGGCGTTTTTTTTAATCAGTGGTTTTCGATAATTCCGTGATGGGAAGTTTTCAAATGTATATATTTGCAGGAGGAATATTAAGCACATCAAACAGTGCATGGAAAACTTTTCTGTTTAACTTTAGTTTGTTAGGTTTTAAATACTCGTATAAGTAGGTTGGATATCACATGCATCTTTAGTTCTTGTTTAGTTAATAATTTATATACAGGTATTGTAATCTCTAAAATAAACTGTTTTAAATAAATAAATAATGCTGTGATTCAACGTCAAAAAACTATCTGAGATGAAATGAGATACCATAGTGTTTGTCCTCTCTGCAATATAATCTAAATGTCTTTTGGAAAGGTCGCCATCTGTGAGACTATAATCTTTCAAAGTATATTTCTAATTATTGCGAAGAGAAGAAACATATCTATGATAAATTCTTATAGATGACAGAATGGTTTCCACCTCAAATCATTTTTTGGGCGCTGAACTACAGTAGAAAGTTGGCGATCTTCAGATAGAATACGTTAATCATTGGTTATAATCATTTTTTTTGTATGATTTTTAATCCCAGGCGCAAAAACTCCCACATTGATAAGCGACTTGGGAGTATTTTTTTAATCGAAAGTCTTGTCTGTCGAGATGGTTCCTATATTTGAGGGAAATGAAATCAGTCATCTCCAAGCTCTTCATTGGAACTAGTGGCATAGGATCTCTCACTAAATGAGTATCATCATTTGAACATCGTTTTTTTTTCGATTTACCTTGTTCCATTTAGTCATTAAAAAACCCTAGATTGTGAAGCAGCCTATCCATGGGGGACTTTTCGAAGTTTTATGAGACTTGGCCGGTTTGAAACTTGTATCAACATGATGTTATAGAAGCTGCGGCTGGCGACTGCTTAAGCATATAAAAAAATACAATATCTGATCCAAATGTTATTTTATGTTAGTTGTCATATCACGACACTCGACAAACTGTATAGATCGATAGAGGATATATATCACATACTTTTTTTACCTGAACTTTTCGACCTGGCCTCCTGGATGAGCCTGACCACGTCCTGATGCAGGGCGTGCGACACATCCTGGCCGTTGATCTGGTGCAACTGGTCGCCTTCTGACAGTCTGGGCGTACATTTATCCGCTGGGGTGTTAGGCGCTACTCTAGATACTAATATTGGCACGTTCGTATCAGTTCCGCCTAGAAAATATAAGAAAAAAGTAAAAGGTGCTCCTCTATATCCCGGAAGCTGCTAATATAGCCAATTATCTACCGATTTTAAGAAAAATTAGAGCAAGTGGCAACTGCGAAGTACGGTAGAACTACACCATCTACACTGCGTTTTCGGCACGCTAGCGTGATATTCACGTTCATGGAATTGCTTTCGTATATATATATATATACAGGGCTTTGAAGTTGAGTCATTAATTTTCAGATAATGATTGTAGAAGGAAGATAAACCAAAATATATGTGTAAAAATAAAAAATAAAAATTAAAAAAAAAATTACCTTGTTTTATAAAGTATCCTCCCGACAAGTACATATTTCAGTGCGGACCTGTATTTGATCGTGAGGTCTTGTACTACATTAACAAAGGCACGAGGGGTTGGTTGCACTCGATTGGGAAACCGATCCGCATAAACATGTGCCATTTTTTATTTCGTTTGAGCCACGCAACAGATACCACTATTCACTCACGCGTTACCAACTGACACTGACTGTATACAAATGAATAAAGTGATTGTAAAAACATCGTTCCAAATTCTTTCGCTTTTTTGTTTCCGATGCGATGAACCGATAAGGCGGATTATATCCGTTGTCGCCAAACACGAGCACACAATATTATTATTGAGACAGGGCGGTACTCAAACTTCCAAAGGGCTATAACTTTGTTACTTTAATTTTACCAGAAAAATGGTAAAGGAAAAAAACATTTCTTTTGATCAGATCTACTCACTGTTAAAATAAATGACTCAACTTCGAAGTCACCCTGTATATACACATATGAACCTCCAAGAAGGCCTAAGCACCCAATGGGTACCGTGCGGCTATGAGGGTATATAGGGGAAAGCGAGGGACGCCACTCGGACTCTAGCGAGGGAACACATGTTCATGTAATATTCACACTTTCTGGCCCCGCTGGGTGGTACCTCCGCGGTCCACAGTCAAAGACCGTCTACCACCTACGGAGCGTAACGGGTGTGCTTAGTGAGGATTTATGAGCTAATAATCTGTGTACTTGAGATGTATGCTTCATTCTGGAACTTATATAATATGCAAATTTGCTGAATTTCAAAGATAAGAGAGATAAAAAAGAAAATCCCTATTTGGTGAAGTATGTTAAAACTAACAGATGAGAAAATAGAAATTTATTTTGCGATGTGAAGTAGAAAATACATATCAGCACCTAGATGTCAGGCACTGCAAAAATGTTTTACGTGTGATGCGTCATTCCCAATTTTTCTGTGATGTGTAATGTAATTACACACAACCTTGGCGTGGTGGTGATTTCCTGTAATGTTTCTGAAAGTTTTTGAAAACGCATAAAACGGGAAAATCGCAAATTATCACTTTGAACATAACCTCTCTTCAAAAAGGACAACACAAATAACCCATCTGGTAATAATTTTCTCATAGCAAATATCACTGATTTCATACACATGCAGAAACTTTATATCAGGTTATGTTATTGATCGAAGCATTGAATATTCGGTGATTCCGAGTTATTTTTTTGGTGAATGCGCTCAATGTCTTGTAGTTTGTGGTTGTTTCATTTGAATACAATCTTACAATGGAACCACCGGTACCCCATGTAAATCTGCGTTAATACGGATACATAGAAAAACGCAAAAAGTCAATGCAAAAACGTGCAAAGCGAGCTTGAAGAAAAATACCTCGGTTTTGTTAGTAACTTCAATAATGCACACAGCCAGAGCGTTTCTGTTTTGAACGAAAAAAAAATCTACGTTATTGCTTTGGGACATATGCATATATGTACATATGCCAAAACTCATTGACTGTGATCTTTCCGGCAGATGCAATCGACTTCCCTTCTTTGGCGCTGAAGCACTGGCTTCCACCCAATACTTTAACTCCTGTTTTACGACTGGCGTTGAGCGGTGGACACTTAGTAACGTCCATCGCGAGAAATTGGTCGGATCCCTATTGAACTGGTCCAAACATTCTTGTGAAAGTCGTTTGCGCTTGGGCTTTTGATCGGCATGACGTGTGTAAGTGATATTCCAGGCTGAGGTAGCCAGAGTGCTTCGGCTGCAGAGGAGGGATGTTCGATTGATGGCAGGGCTGAAAGACAGAGATGATTGCAAGCATGTGTTTAATGAATGGAAGCTTCTGACTGTGCTAAGTCTGTATGTTTGTCAAGAAAAAAGGTGATCAATACCAAACCTTCGAAGATGTTCACGAATATAACAGCAGAAATAAGAGAAATTTGATACCTATATATTGGCGACGGTGTCAAGATGGCCCGGGGCTCTCGGAATTAAATTTTTTAACAAATTGCTCTTAAATGATTTTAAGATTTGTATTAGAAGTGTTTTGATCCAAAATTGATGATTTTATAAATACTGATTTTAAAGTGTTTTGATAGTTCAACACTTTTGACGATGAGACTTTTTTCTTCTGTGTTATGACGAGTGTAAACAATGTTTTGTATTAACATGAAGAATTAAAAATGAAATTTTAATTTTAAGCTCAGCTGCATACGTTTTACAGCTAATAGGAGAGTCCACGCAAGCTTATGTTAAGAAGAATTTTCTTAGGGGTTAATCCATCCACAATGAAGAATTTGATAACAGCAGGATATTCAAGTTTATCCACCTTAACCCCCCCCCCCCTACGTACAAATGATGCAGGTACCTAGGCAGTAATAATATTTTTTCACTGAGTTGACCACCATGTCTGTGTCGGGTTGATCACTTTTCACCTTATTCTCGTATAATTGGGTTATAAAAAACATATCTTTAATAGGCCAAACCAAGCATGCAAAATCATCAAACGCATCACGCTGGTACCACCAAGCTTGTCTGACCTTTAACGCTAAACCCGTACTTTCCCTCCCCGTCAGGATGGAGTACTACAGTGACTACATTGCCGTTCGAATCTGTGGATTGCGATTGATTAACGGTAGATGGCGCACTAGTAGCGATGTCGTACAGACCGTTCAATGTTGGCGATGGGGGTTCGTCATCTGCGTAGCTCATCACTCTGCCCGCCACGCCGGGAGAATAGGGGGTCTCCAGGGTGCGCTCCAGGAAGCCGCCATCACTAGGAAGAAATAAAAAAATAACGATTAGTTAAGAAAACACTACAGGCATAATTAACCAGAATGATACATAGATATGCATCCACTGCGGTGAGCACACATCCCGTTACATTCATCAATCTATTGATTAGCGCTCAACTTTAGTATATTATTGGACTCCACTGTCCGACAATTGTCATTGTACTTGGAAAAGCACCCGAGACATCGTACAATAAGCAGAAAAGAAAACAATAATAATTTATTTCCTCAAACACAATATAAAAAATGAGTTAATAAATATGTACATGGATCATTGATCTTGCAATTGTACATAGAATTAAAACAAAAATACTGATACAGCTAATCGTCGAATCATTTGATGCTTACATTTAGTATTAATTTGTGTGTCTGGCTTCGCTAAAGAAAATATCCATTCAGGTTACCTTCAATCAATTTATCTTTCCCCCATCTACGTTTGACAACTTTGACTCTTAACTACGCGTAGTGGGAGCAAAATTGGACATCCCTGCCATAGCAGCTAAACTTTACCAATAACATGATGAATGTTTTGCCTCAGGACGTTCATCATGTACAGAGACTTTATCATTGAAGAGCCCATTGGCAGATTTAGAGGGAGGCGCCCCTATTTCTAGACGTCCAGGGCTGCCACTTTTTCAATAAAATGATACATATTGTTCATCTTGGTGCCAAAATTAGCTTGCTTGAGCTGAATGCTGCTTAAGCATGCAATCACCAAAAATAATATATTAAATAGCCAGGCTTTAAGAAAAAAAGTAAATATATAGTACTTACTCATCAGATATGCGTGAATCTTCGGTCCACGCTTTCTTAGGCTCCTTGGTGCCCAGTGAGGTAACTTTGTTAGCGTAGGGACCAGGAGGCCTGGCAGGAGCTGTCAAAAACTTCCCCTTGTCTTCTATTGGAGGAGCCGGAGTTGGTTGTTTGATCTGAAAACATACACATCTTAGCAATCAATTAAAAAAGGCATCCCGAAGTACTTTGGGATTTGTTGAAAAGCAAACTAACAACTTTGTTAAAATATACTTGTTAATTATATTATCAGAATGTCCAAATACCCCGCCTCCAACTCTTAATTGACCTTTTGGCACAAAATCGGCAATAACATGAGAAATTTCACTAAAATTTTCATGAAAAAGAGAGTTGACTTTCCTAGTACGATTGCACAACTTTGATGCAATAATTAATTAAATTCCCAGGACACTGGATGACAAAAGTGCAATATAAAATATTTAAGTCGTAGAAAAATGGCACGAAATTTAAATCCCGAAATATTCGTCGATACATTATTTAGCTATAGTCAAAAGATGCATACCACATCTAAGCGACAGTGGGAATCATCACGCTGACGCGGGCGCCACTGAGTATGACGAGTATGCCATCTGAGTTTGAACTTCTAGAAATAATCTCGGTAGCTTCGATTTTTTCTAGAGGAAACCACACACTCGGCAGCCCAATCTAGGGTTTAGTCTATTCGGGAGTGAGCGGAGAGCAGTCGACCCGACACGAACCGCGATTCAGTCATAAACTTGTTATGAATTAGTGTGTTAAGGATTAATAAATTAGTTAATAGTTTATTTAGTGAATATGTGTTTTCGTTACAATAACTTACCAGTTGTTTGCTAGGCGATCTAACAAACTTCCTTTCCAGTATCCCGCGTTGCCTGACCTCCGACATGGTCTGGAACTCGGTACGGCCAGAGTACGTGAATTTAGAACCTAAAGAGAGTGGAAACCTCCTTTTCACGCGAGGCGAATGCAGCCTAAAGAAGGTGTGGTGTTCTACGCAAGATTTCCACAGGGTTTTCGATGACCTGTAGGTTTCCATGTTAAGGCCGAGTAGTGTGTCATATGACTCAGACTGGAAAAATAAGAAATTATGATTTACCATTAACTTATTCCCGTCTTTACATGTAATGAAAATCATTTCTTGGCAAGATAGTAAAATCTATGGAGCTCAAGACAGGTACCAGCTACACAATTTTTCAAAACTTTTTCAAAAAAATAATCATTTTCGGACCAGGAAACGAAAACGGAACTTTTGTTTTACAAAACGGACTTTTACATACGACTGCAATAATTGAATTAAGTACTGCAATACAGCCATTTGAAAAAATTAAAAACTTCGCTAAATACGCAAGAAATTACAAAAAATATATCCACAATAACTTACCGGTTCTCTCCTAAGTTGTATAAAAAACTGTTTCCTTTTGAACGATATCTTAATGATTTTGGACCAGGAAAAAACGGTGATTCTAATATTATTTTGAAAGACGACCAATCCCAAATGGGTTACGCCCAGTTGAATTTCTTTGCCGGCGTTGTCTTTTGCTCTGTGCAAATCGACACCGTACATTTCGATTCGCTTGGCGTGATCTAGGAAGTTAAATTCGGCATCGGCAGGTAATTGTCCTCTGAAAAAAAGAATGGTTATATGTTATAGTGGATAAAGACCATTGTCATAGCACAGTTTTATAATTCTTATACGAAACATCCTAGGAGTAGTTTCATTACAAACAAAATTATATAGTTTTATATTCCACAAGCTTATAAGCATATCAGATTGAAATAGAAAATCTAATTAGACTTACTTATGTAATTTATGCAATTCACATATCTTCCTTTCCATCTCTTCTGTCTGACCAGGAATCAGTTGCATATGAGATAAATAATCTGGTCCATGTTCTTCAGGATTATAATCACCTAATTCAGCTGAAAAAAAAAACAGCTAACTAATCCCATCGCAATTTTGCTAAAAAATTACACCTAGATCCTAATGGACCAATGAGAACATTTTTGGAAAGCTGAAAAAATGTAACCTTGTTTGGCATTGATAAAACAGACCAAAATGAAAAAAAAAACAATATTTTGCTTCGGTACAGTTGCAATAATTTCAACAGTTAACAGCTTCATAATTAGCGACACGAAAAACCTCAGGAAATAAATTTTCATGCTATTAGATAGTTTTAAATTCATGTCAGACTGTTTAGGGAGTGGCTGCACTGTAAATCGATAGGAACAGTATTGAAACTAGACTCTTTTTCTCAAATATGATTAGTTTTGAGTACCTTGATAAAAATACATTTGACAGTATATGGTTTTTTGGCGGTTACGTCATCCATGCCTTACGAAAAGTAAGCAAATCAATTAACTGAACCATTTGCGAAAATGAAGCTCTAAGGTAAAAATGCAGTGCAAACAGGTCTTAACCGCAGCTGCAGACATACATTTTGGCAAAAACTATCGATATTGTCCATTAGTTGTGTTTTCAAGTACTGCTGTTTCATATTAAGAAGATAAACAAAAACTAAACTCAAAATGGAGCGCCTATATATATCACTTTGAGCTCTATCATAGGCATTGAATTATTCTTTGTAAACAAAAACAGGTGACAATAATATAAATACCTTGCACAGTGAGAATATTCAGCTCTCTAAGCGCCGTATCGTCAGTCGTTCCTACAATTTATTGTAGGACGCCTTTATAGCTATTTTGAGGTTATGTTCATACTTTTGATATATATCATCTGTTATATAGCCTAAAATTTCCTACAACTCAAGAAGAAAACACAGCCTGACAATAGGAGAGCGCTGAGGCAGTAGAAATCTAGAAATATCCCAGCCTTTCTGAACGAGAGGAAAGACTATGAAAATCAAGGAGGTCATAAAGGCGTCCTACAATTGCAGGAACGACTGACAATACGGCCCTAAGCTTTCCCCTACAAGTTTGTCTATTTTGCAGAGATAGCATAGTACTCACTCATCTTTTTTTGTGCTCAGAAAGCCCTGTCAGAGTGACTGCTGCCACACCAAAATATTCCATATTTGAGGATGGAATAAATTAATATTTACGTAGTACAAAATCTTAATATGTTCAATGCCTAAATACCTCGACATAATTTTAATGGAATAACATGCTGAAGTGCCCATTTTACAGACATTCGTTATATGATCCCCCAATCCAAATTTTACCCAATGTAAATACCCAGGAACTTTGTACTTCACGATAGTTGATGGTTTTCGTTATTGAGACCATATCTGAATTTTTTGTCCCTTTGTTTTGTTTGAAAATTAAGAAAATTTGATTTCTCTGGATAGAGGACCAATTTGTTTTTAGTAAACCATTCTTTGGCTGCCGTTAAGCGCTCGGAGGAAAATTCTAGCTCAGATCGTGTCTCAGATGTCTGAGCATACAAACGTTTTCGCACAGAGGCGGATTGCATTTATATGTGTAAGGAAGATGATATCTAAAAGTCATGCCGGTAATTTCAGTCTGACCGGCCAAAAACCGTGAAATGAACTATATGAAAGGTAAAATCAACTTACATTGTACTGTATAACTAGCTAAAAGTATGGAAGTGCTTGCAGGCAGAACAAGTCGTTCCTCCAAAATGTCCTTCCTCAATTGTAAGTAAAACTGATACCGTGTATACTCCTCTAACAGCTTGCTTGGATCGGATACGTAGAATTTCACCCTAAAATGTAACGGGTATTGGCAGTTGCCCAGTTGCTTCTTCAATGATTTGGACGGATCTAACCAGCGCTGTAAACAAATTAAGTATATTAGCAGCTTCAACGTCTTACTACCTTAAAAAAGTCCTATATATAAACGTTTTAGGTTGAACATCAAATATGACGCTTTCTCAAATCATCAATAATTATGATGTTTGCGATTTCATACAATAGGTTCACTTAGGTACGATTAATCTTAGACCTCTGAATGACATGGTTTTTCGTGATGTATATGTAATTGTAACATCCAAGAAAACAATCTCTCAATTTCGAAATATTTCGCTGTTACAATAGTTCCTCGCCAGTGTTGGCATAGGGAGTAAAATGAAGTATACAATCATGACAGTCCAAGAAATCGCCTGTCTGTAAACCATGGAGCTGGAACGCGATTGAGGCGAAATGACAACACTGTTATCAAGGTTCATACAGATTCGTTATCCTTGATGTCGAGCACGCTTCATTCAACCTTTCGCTTTAACATACGTGTTTCTCTCCCTATCTCGCGCGTACACGTTAAATATAGGACCTCAAAAATTTTCTTCCGATCCTGTATAACTAGCTTACTAGACTGAAATATGTACGGGCTAATGAATATCCTCATGCAAATCACACAGTTATCGCCCTGTAGACAGGGAAAAGACAAGTTGTCAGATTTTTGCTCCTTAAAAATTTTGAGAATTTGCTTAGAGAAAAGGCGAATATAAGATGGAACGCACGTCCGAGGGGTCACCAGGCGACCCCTCCGTCATACCGAGTGGAGAAGAAGTAAATAGCGGCGTACCTGAGAGATTGGAGAATACGAACCCTAGTGAGGCTTCGGCAGCTGCAGAGATCAAGAGACTGATGGACTGCGTGGACAACCTCAATACCCAGGTTTCTAAAATTACTACTTCTTTAAATCAATTCATGTCCCGTGATGACAACTCTATTAAGACTCCCAAGAGAAGACACAACAGCCCTACCTCACCTACAGAGACAGAAGACGACGTACAGGACAGTGATTTTACCGCTACCCAGAGACGTAAAAAATGACAGATTCGTAAAATTAACGAATATCCTTCCTTTCCGACTAAGAAATCCCCAATCAATACCAATTCAGTGGACATACACCGCCTGTGCCTGTTTCTTTTGCTGATTCTGCAAGCCAGCCAAAGCACTCCCAAAAGCAAGCACCTAGCTTAAACGAAAGTCGCAACTCTATTTCAGTCTCACAAGCTGCTTCCTTGGCTGACAGAAACACTACATCTCCGTCATCTAACGCTACCTTCGGCACGCAGGCACAATCGCCCCCGTCAGGGGCGTGTTACACCTGCTATGCTGCGGGATGCGGCGAAGTGGCGCATTGTCTATTATTCTTTTATCAGTCTTGGTACTAAAATTGATCGAGCAGTAGCTGTCGATGCTGGGGTACGCAACGTACCTAATAGCGAAGACGATTATCGGAAGATAATTCGTCTTTTCAAAGAGGAAAATGTTCCTCACCATACATTTTCCTGCCCTCTGAGCGTTATATTCACGCTGTTATCAGAGCAATCCCAGCGTCAACTGTTGGGCAGGAAATCAAAGAGGAGCTCAAACAGAAGGGATATATCCCTTTTGGCATTTGACCACGTGTAACTATTTTGATACGCGCAGGACAACTACTTCCTTTAACCGACAAACATGAACTGATCTCATGGGTCGCTCTTGCAGTAAATCAGGCTCATCCCCACTCTTTTATGGCTGTAGTTTGAAATAACGGCCCCAGTTACGGAGGTGACATGAAAATCCGAGGACATTTTATATTTCACGTAATTTTACGCAATGCAATTTGAATATAAAATGAAAATGCATTTTTTGCAAGATTTTGAGTGGCTTTAAGTATTGCTAGTGTGCATATCTCAATTGGACATTACTAAGTTTAAGAATAATTAGTCTATATCTCATAACTTTTGTTTGGGGATACGTTACGAACGTGAGAAATGATATTTTGCGAGGCAAATAAAATTAGGAAATAAATGAAAAATTTGTATTTTTGGTATGCTTCAGTAAGAACTAGTAGAGTACTGAATATTTTTGGTATTTTGTTCTTAGTTTTACCAAAGCAAAGGAAAAAAATCACTGAGGACACAAACATCCCGTTTTTCAAATAATGACCCATATACTCCACTCCACATAATTCGCTTGAAGCGCAACGGTGGCGTGCCCATGCCTTTGGTGGTGGTAATCCTGCCTAAAACAGGGAAGTCGCAGCAAATGTTCAACGAACATGAACTGCTGGGTCTCTCTATCAGAGTTGAGGTTCAAAAGAACTCTCGACTCATTGGGCAGTATCACCGCTGTCAGAAGTATGGACACGCGCAATCGTATTGCACTTCACCTCCAACGTGTCTTAAATGTGCTCAAGACCACATTACACATGTGTGCCCTCAAAGAGGACAAGAGGCACGCAAATGTGCGAACTGTGGAGGGGACCATCAGGCCAACAGTTCTAGCTGTGAATTCACTCCTAGGAGAAATCTACAGGTCATCGCACAAAGGCGAGTAAAATCATACGCAGGCGCAGCAAAGGTTGACATTCTAGCTGCCCTTGCTGCCCCGAGCTCACCTTCGACAAAACGTGGACCTGGCATCAGCGCTGAGGTCCTTGCAGGCAATCTTTCCGATAAATGGCTCGGTACAATAGTAGACAGCCTGCATTCATCAAAATTCTTTTCTAGAATTGTCTGGGTCTTAGGGATATTTCAAAAAAATGGGAATTTCGTCAAGTACTTTTGGATGAGAGTGTAGGTGTGGCTCTGTTGCAGGAAACATTGATTAATCCGGGAGATCGCCTAGCTTTCCCGAATTATGATGTTATCCGAGCTGATAGATTAACTGGACGGAGTGGCGGTTTGGCAGTCCTAGTGAAGCGTGGTATCGATCACCATAGAAGCACAAATGCCGAAATGCAGAGCATTGAGGCGGCTTCCGTGAAGGTCAATATGACGGGAGGTGTCCCGTTAAAGATCACATCGGTGTATGTCAGGTGTGGTGCCAGGCTGTAGGAGGCGGACCTGAAAGTCCTTATGGACTACTCTGGTCCGCTTATTGTAGCGGGGGACTTTAACAGCAAACACAGAGAATGGCATTCTAGGTTGAATTCCCCCAGTGGTATTCGACTGTACAACAACGTGATACGAAACGGCTACCTCATACAGTACTGAAGAGCCCACACACCACTCATTCAATCACCTTCAGGCATCAGATGTCACCGACTTTGCAATATCTAGAAACTGTAGATACAGTATCACTTCTCGAATCATGTATGACATTTCTAGCGATAATCTTCCTGTCGTACTGGTAGTGGGTAATGAGCAAACCTTGGAAGAGGGAACTCCTCCAAGGAAACGAGTTGATGGGGAAATATACAAGTTACTTCTTAGAGAGTTCCCCAATATCCCGATCATAGATGATCAGAACGGTATAGATACGGCTCAAGCTGGGATGCTTGACTCAAGTACTCCTCCTGGAAAGTGGCGAAGTCGCTCAGAAACGGAAAGCGAGAATAACTCCCGCACATCCATAGTCTTCAGGACAGAGGACAAGGTCGAGGTTTTCGCTGAAGCTATGGAACGACAGTTCTCTTCCAACTATGATCTTGATTATGATCTCGACGAGAAGCAACAAATTGTAAGATTCGTCGGAAGATATTTTAGGTCCAACGGCATCAGTGATCCCGGCGCCGCCATTAGTGATTCTTCCTCAGAAGACTGTTATTCGTAAGATTCTTCGAATGAAGAGTTGTAAAGCGCATCAGCTGCATCTCCCGAGATCCCGTATTGCACGCCAGCAGAGCTTCAAGGTCATATTAAAGACCTCAAGGTGCGTAAAGCGCCTGTGGAGGATCAAATCACTAATAAGGTGCTGAAGCTGCTTTCACGGAAGTCCTTGACTTATCTCGTGGCTATTATCAATGCCATGCTAAGGACCCAGTACTTTCCATCTGCGTGGAAGAGTGCGGAAGTTATAATGATTCCAAAGAAGGTGGGTTCGATATTTCCCTAGGACTATCGTCCCATTGGCCTACTGTCTGCTCCGTCTAAGCTCGCCGATAAGGCGATTCTACGTCACCCTGCGAATTTCTCGTCAGATCACCATGTGATTCCTGACGTGCAATTTGGATTTCGGTCTGAGCATAGTACGGAATTACAGGCGGTTAGGCTTGTGGAGCGAGTAACTAGGGGCTTCACCCTTAACGAAAGTACTGGCATCTTGCTTCTGGATGACTCGAAGGCATTTGACAAGGTGTGGCACAAGGGCCTTCTCTGTAAACTAATTCAAAAGGGCTTTCCATTTTGGCTCCTAAAACTTTTGAAATCCTTCCTTGAAGGTAGGAAATTTCAGATCAAAATTAATAACGTCTTGTCGACAGTACGGCCCATCAAAACCGGCGTCCCTCAGGGTTCGGTTCTATGGCTAATCCTTGTCTCACTTTTTACACATGATGTCCCTTGCCCTAGTGACTGTGAAGTCTATCTATATGCTGATGACACTGCACCCAGTCGCGTTCCGGGAATCTGGTTCACGACAGGTTACAACGTACGGTGGATGAGGTATTGGAATGGGCAGATAGGTGGCTAATCAAAATTAATTACTCGAAAACGCAGGCTATCTATAGTATTAAAAAACGTAGAGGCCTGAGGTTTCACTGAATGGAGCTCGCATACCTTAGGGAAATTCTGCTAAGTATCTCGGTGTCACTCCTGACAGGGGGATGACCCGGCAGAAGCACCCTGAAGCGTTAGAAAGTAAATTCCAAATTACGTTTCGGCAACTCTACCCTATGCTATGTAGAACCTCAAAATTAAGTTTGTTCAACAACGTTTGTTACGCATATGCATAATCTGCAGGTTTTGCAGAACAGAACCTTGCGAACCGTCACTAACGCACCATGGTATGTCTCCAACGAGACCCTTCACAGAGACCTCGACATCCCTTACCTAAGGGACTACATCAAAAAACAGGTGCAGTTACGTTATATTCAAGCGGAATCGCAAAGCAACCCCTTCTTGCGTGACTCAGTAGACTACACAGTCGAGCAAGTTCTCTTTGCTCTTCCCCCTTCCTTTCTCCCTGACTTCGTCTGGTATTTGGGCAACCAGACCTGACAGACCTGCTGACCTACGATACTTTCACAAACAGCGAAGGTTCCACGGGCCGCTCTGACGGACAATGACCAATAGAGTCACACAGATTTGACTTTTACTTCTGACATTGGTTGTCAGTGCCACTTCATCTAGTTTTTGAGGCCCTATACCAACCAGTTCAAAATCATTTACATATCGTCATATTACAGTAAAATTTCAATGTTCAAAGGTTCCATACAGTTGGTTTTTTAGACATTAATATAAAAATCATGGATTTCAACTTTAGAGACAAATATTAAAAAATGACTTCTGCACTTCCCAAGCAAAGCTGTCATCAGTTTTTATAGGATTATGTTCAACACAAGTTAGCTGCTCTTAGGTAAAAGTTAGCTACAGACAAGTACAACAAAACGTCCATAGTCCCCACCCAATCGATATATGCTATAAGTCTGTTACTGATGAACCACACCAGTCAGCCATGAAAATGTGAGCAGTGCGAGTCATCAGGCGTAGACAGGGTTCTGTAAGGGTATGTAGCAACGTATCTATTGGAAATATTTTTTCAAGTTTTAAGAGCAAATGTACAGAGAAATCTATGATATGTGAAATATGCACTAATGTGCGTTGAATTACTGGGGCTGGAAACGTATAAATATACAAACGCCAAAAAATTGAGGCATACCCTCTCCCACCCCCAATTTTTAACCTCTACATCTGCCCGAAAATGATCAGGAACCACTGAAACATCAAAAACAAAGTGATTGTTTTTTTTTTCGTCTTTTGCCCATAGCAATTATTTAATGTGCATTGCACAAAAAACAGTTGTGCGTGTAAACAAAGCTCCTGCTCATTGGTTGGATGATAATATTAAACTTGTATTCAAGCAGAGATCTGAAGCTTTGCCAAAGTATACATATTTCAGAAATCGTGCATTAACACTCGTGCGGAAAGGAATAAGAGATTGTGTAGAAGCCGAAATCAGAATATAAAAAAGATCGATAAAGCCCTAAAGACCTTCAAGGTGCAACCACAGAAAAGTTCTACAATTCCAATTACAAGTTTGATGAATGAGGCATTTAATTCAATTTTTGATAACAGTGACTTGAGGTGTGCTGATAAAATTGCATTCGATTTAACACACCATATAAAAATGGCGCTTGCTAACCAAAACGCAGTAAACCGCATTCTTCTTGACTACAGTAAATCATTCACTTCTTGTGTCTAAATGTAGTTATCATGAATTTTATGAAAAACCTCTTTCGCTTATTCAAACTTACATTGAAAATCGGTTTCAAAAAGTTAGTCTAAATCAACAATACCCTACTGAACCAAAATAATGTTTTAGTGTACCTCAGGGATCTGACTTAGGACCCCTAATATTTTGATTATATATCTCAGATTTAGAAACAAAGGTAAAATCATGCAGCATACAATTTTTCGCTGACGATACTCAGATTTTCTATTCATTTAGTTGTCATGACTTGGGAACAGGGGATAATAACATTAATCAAGAACTTGCCCAAATTGAAAAGTTTAGTAATATTCATAATCTCCATTTGAACCATTTGAAGACAAATATGTTAGTATACTCAAGTAAAACAAAAAAAAAGCTTTAAAGATGACAAACATAAATTTAAAAGGTAATAAAATAGTTCCTATCGATCATTCTAAATAACTAGGTATTATAACGGATTATTTAAAATTTGTTGAACATGTAAACTATCTAATCTCCCAGTACTATGCTATTCTCAGAGCAATTGAAAATTGATAAAATGTATAAATACCAACTCCTAAGCCTTATTCAAATAAACCGTCATATTTAGAAAGCAAATTCATACACCTCTATTTTAGAACTCATAAATATTTAAAATGCAATCGAATAATTCCTTAGACCGTAGTTTCAAAGAAATCAATTCACTACCCGAATTCAAGAAAAAACTGAAAAAAATCATACTTGATCGGCAGCCAAATCTTTTGCAACCAATAAGTGTTAATTGACCTTATATTTTCTTTGTGCCTTTAAATTAATTATGGTTTATTATCGTTGATATTGTACTCAGGTATTAAGTTTTAACAATTTTTTTAGTTGTTTTATATCACTTATTGTTAAGGGGGTTGGGTGGTAGAATCGATATAGTATCTAAATCTCGCCTCCTGTAAGGTTATTACAAATGAAAAAAGACGTTACTTATTATTACATAACATCCAAAAAACATAGTATCTCATTTTCGAAATTTCTCGCGATTTAAATACCATGCCAGTAGGTGTGGGAAGTAAATAGACTGAAAATCTCCTTCAAATTGTCAGGTAATGTTTTAATGCTCTTCAAATTACGTATGATTGAGAGTTTAGAAAGTCCATATAAATCTGCGAGTTTTAAGAGTATCCCACCAATGAGACCTATTTTCATTATACTATAAAAAACGTGCTTGAAACGAAAGCGATTTCACCTTCAATGAAGACTTGTTTGATATCCACACTGCATAAAAAGCAAAACAATAGCTGCTTTCACAAGCAAACACTAAACTCTTGAAGTGGTTGAACCACGAGTGATCAATAGCAACTAAACATCTTATTTCGTATTATAATTATTCCCATTTTAATGACTCTAATGAGTCACGGAAAGATTCATACATTAAATGAAATCACTCATTCATTTAAATGCGAAGTTTATCATGCCACTATCAATGATATCATGCTATAGTTTCTGTTTAGTCAAGGAGATATATATATATATATATATAATCATGAGCAGTATTTAAAGTAAATATAAAGGAGGACATTTAAACAGAATAAGTGTTTCTGTACCTTGAAGGGAATTTCCTGATTCGCAAGGGTACACAGTTCAAAATGCATATTTTTGGATAGTAAGTGTAGATTATAGAAATATTGTTGATACTGAAACTGATGTGTAAATAACAGAAAAGAAGTTACTTTGACATAATAAATATACAGGGCTAGTTTTTAGTGTCTAAAGAAAGTTTAATACAAGAATTGTATGCCCCTTACTTGGAAATGTTTTTATTTCTACAGGGTGATTCATAACTTCAAGCAATGAAATATTGACAAAACTATCAAAAAAAAAACACTCAACTGTGACAACTCACATCCCCCGTAAATGTTATAGCCAGAGTACTGAATTTTTAAAAAAAATTCATTTATCCTATATTTTATCCCTATCTACTTATTTTTAATGTTTCTTGGAACGTTTATACCGGGTGGTCAATTAGGCAAAATGAACTATTTCTCAAAAATCTCAAATGGAACACCGTATATTTTGATTCTCCTTTTCACAAGCTTTTTTCTGAGATAAGATTTATGAGTGTTTGTACGAATGGTTTTTGGAGTTACACAAGGCCTCCTTCTTGACTTTTCGACTCATTGCATAAGGCTGGGTAGATTAAATTTATAAAATACACCAACTCCAAAGATCTCCCGTTACCAACTAAACGCTATTTTTTATTTTTAGTGGTATTATAATATTTTTTATTATTTGATATCTGACAAAAAGATTATTTGTAACAAAAACTCCAGCCGTACCTTATATCAAAAAAGCTTGTGGGAAGGAGAATCAAAACATGTGAAAATATACACTTTGCGAAATCGTTAATTTTGCAACCCTGTATAAACTGTCAGAAAAATGAATAAGCAAGTAGATATGAACAAAATATAGGATCCTCAAATATTGCTGACGAAAAAATCAGTACCGTAGCTATAACAGTTGCAGAGGTGGGAGTTGCCAAGTAAAGTGTTTCTTTCTATAGTTTTTCTTATATCTCAACAATTTTAAAATAAAGCCCTATAGTATGTTTATCAAACAAACTACTTCATTTGAAAGGGCCTATCCAAATCTGTAATAAAATTCAGGTTGCTAAATTTGGATGTTTAGGTCTCCACATAGTTATAAATCAGCCTGGAGATATAAAATAATTTCCAAGTGAAGAGCATACTTTTTGCTACAATTTTTGTAATTAATTGTTTAAGATCCTGTGTAATAACCGACTTATCAACCCATACCACAATAAAAACGCACCCTATATATATATACAGGGTGACTTCGAAGTTGAGTCATTTATTTTAACAGTGAGTAGATCTGATCAAAAGAAATGTTTTTTTCCTTTACGATTTTTCTGGTAAAATTAAAGTAACAGAGTTATAGCCCTTTGGAAGTTTGAGTACCGCCCTGTCTCAATGATAATATTATGTGCTCGTGTTTGGCAACAACGGATATAATCCGCCATCGGTTCATCGCATCGGAAACAAAAAAGCGAAAGAATTTGGAACGATGTTTTTACAATTATTTTATTCAGTTGTGTTGTATACAGTCAGTGTCAGTCGGTAACGCGTCAGTCAATAGTGGTGTCTGTTGCGTGGCTCAAACGAAATAAAAAATGGCACATGTTTATGCGGATCGGTTTCCCAATCGAGTGCAACCAACCCCTCGTGCCTTTGTTAATGTAGTACAACGGGCTCGTGAATCAGGTGACTTAAGACGGCATGCCGGTGCTCCAAGACCTCGCGATCAAATACAGGTCCGCACTGAAATACTTGTCGGGAGGATACTTTATAAAACAAGGTAAATTTTTTTTTTATTTTTACACACATATTTTGGTTTATCTTCCTTCTACAATCATTATCTGAAAATTAATGACTCAACTTCAAAGTCACCCTGTATATATATATATATACAGGGTGTCCGCAAAGTTGGGGTTTTCCTTTACACGACGTGTAGATCTTGAAAACATAAGCAATTTTTCTTAGTACCATATACACCAATGTCTTAAGGGAACCGAGATAAAGGGCTCTGCAACATTAAAAATATCTGAATACCGTCCTGTAGCCGCGACCCGCCGCGATATCTCAGACTGGTACCGGCTACTAGCTGAACCCGACGACAGAACTGGGTCGGGGGTCGAGGTTAGTCTGTCAGGTCAATATGCAACCTTCAACCGACGGTAAAGGGTCACGCGTATAGAGGTAACGAACCCGTATAATCGATTGCGTTTCAAAAAAAAAATAATAATAATGGCACACTCATACACCAATAATGAACTCGTTGATATGTTGTTAATTTATGGCGAATGTCTTCAAAATGCTACAGAATCGTCGCGAGTGTATGCAGATCGTTTCCCTAGACGACATCATCCAAGGCCCCGCAGATTTGTGTACCTGGTCCAGAGAGTCAGGGATACGGGCCATTTGGAGGAATTTCGAGGTGGGCACAGTGGGAGGCCTAGACAACCACGAATGATGCAAGTTGAGGAAGAACTACTGAATCGCGTAGACGAGAATCCCTCAACAAGCACTAGAGACGTGGCTAGAGAAGTGCAAGTATCAAAAACTAAAATGTGGCAAACGTCCAACGTGTACAAGCCCTTCAACCTGACGATTTTCCAGCAAGAGTGCGGTTTTGTGAGTGGTTGTTGCATCAACATGACAATAA